GGGGCGGCCAAATTGTCCGCCAATTATTTGGCGTGCCAACGATTGGTAGGGCCAGCTCGGGCGCAAGCCAAACAACCCTTAAGACCCTACTCCTACTTTGGGGTGGACTTGCCTTCCGGGGGGCTGAGGATGAACAAGTACAAGGGATGAACAACCTAGCGTGGTCTACTCTGGTGAGGGAAAGAGTCGAGGGGTTCGGTGGATCTGGCCCTCGGTGGCGGCTAACCTATACTTATAGTGGCCTCGGTCCTCTTCCCCTAAAACGAAGGAGGGAAGGGATCCCACAATGGCCCATTTGAAAGGGGACAAAGTAGTACATCTTATCCTGACAAAAGGTGGTCTTCTCCTGCAAAGCTTCTGGTCGTCACGCCGCTGTGGGCTCGGCGATGCCATCCGTCCTGCCGTCCTGGTAGTCTTGGTCTCGTTGCACCAGAATGGAAACCTTTGCCTGATTCCTCGGGAACCCACGCCTGTGCTTGCCTCCTTAGCACCAAGAGGAAAATGTCTTCTCTGCGCCCGCTGGCGCCCGCCTGGCCTTGATCATCATGGCTTGCGTCATCGCAACCTCATGAGGTTGGGCACCTGCATAGGAATCTCCGCTCGTCAGGAGCAGCCTGGGGAGGAGGCCGCTCCCTCAGGAGGTCCTGGCGTCGTTTCCCTCGCGAGGCTTGGCCCCTCGCGAGGGTCTTGTCTTGGTGGTGTCGTAGATGGGCCGTACCAGATCGTCGATGGAGCCACGCCGTGGACCACAGACAGGCAAGTTTGGGCATCCTGGTTCCCAGAACGCTGACAGCTTTCGTGGTGGCTGAGGTGGTGTTTTGGACGTTCAGAGGAGGCAACGGGCTTGGTACATGGCGCGCAGTCTGTAAGAGCGAGAAGAAAATATTGTTGATTTCTCCAAGGACCTATGTGTAATTTTTAGTTTCTATAAGGATGGCCTTGTAAGGGTTGGTCTGACTTTAATATAGAACTCCACTAGAAATGTAATGTCAGATTTTCGAGCATGGCAAATCGAACGTTTTTCATGGCAAATTATGTTCGTCGAGGATGAGAAGTTTAGTTGGCGAGCATGGCAAATCCATGTTAGTTCATTTTTCTGCCAAAAAATTGCCGTGCTTGCAAACTAAATTTGCCATCATCGTGCCAATATAAATTGCCATGAAAAACATCAGATTTGCCATGCATAAAAAACCGATGTCAGATTTTTAGCGTTTCTGTTAATACATATGGCAAATTGCAGTGTTCACACAAAAAAGTCCAACCAAATAATTTCACACGCACAAGTGGTCATAAATCTGAAAAGTTAACTGCAAGCATGGTTTTTACTCGCCGAAGCTCTTTCTAGCTAACGTTGCTCGCTCGTCCTCGTGTATAGTCCTCTGGATCTCAAATTTCCCGACTTAATTAATTAGAGGGTCCATTGCCGACCTGTGAACACGACGAGACAAAGACTCTGTGTTCCCGCACCCCATGGAGAAACCAAGCTTAATTAACCGTCCTTGCGCACACATCTTGCCAAAAGAAGACCTTTACTTTACCTCGTCCGTGCATGGACGCGTCCAACGGCACATGCATGCATGCACAAACGAGGTAGTACTCCTCATGCTCCTTTGTAGTGCAGCGTGCGTAAGCCCGTGTAAATGCACGAAGATTACACACGACAAATTAGGCAGGTACGGGCCTGCCGAGATTAGCTATCACTTTCAGGACAATGGAGCCTTGCTAGGCTGCTAAATGTTTGCGAGAACTTTTCTCATGCATAACGCGTGAGAGCGAGAGGTACGTACGTAGGAGTACTATATACGTATGAGGTATGACCACTTGTCTCATTGTCTCCTGCCCGCGTTTAATTTGCTGGGTTTTTAGTCTGCCGTCCATGCAGGAAAAAACGCACAGGGCGGCCAGGGTTTTCAGAGCCTGCTACCTACCTGCTGCCCACTGATGATTTGCACCACCAGGCTGTTCATTACTTTGCCCAGGTCGGATGATCTTGATTTTTGTTTACGGCTTGAGAATAAATCACCTTGGATTTTACAAAAATATCGAGTACGTAAGCAATGTACTTTGGATTGATTAGTTTACCCCTCTTTTTTTCTGCTGCCATGAAAGAAAAACTCGTTGGAATCTCAAGAATTAATGCCGCAACTGTGTGGACATATTTGTTAACCCTGGAGATTTAGTTGGCATAAAAAAGGCCACTCATTCATGCTGCAACTGCGTGGACATATTTGTATACTTTCGCTCTTTGATTATATTCACTCATGATTTTCTATACTTTTTTTGCTCACACGTTTGCAGCATGAATCAGTGGCCTTATTACCGAAGAAAAAATTTGGACCATTTTGCACTATAAAGAGGTCTATTGTGCAATTTGTAGGCGCAAGGGTCTACAATTTTGCTGATGGTTCAACAAAAATTCTGAAGTTACGGGGCAATTTTACAATCTTTTTTATCTAAAAACATTTGATTAACTCGTTACATATATTTACAAACTAATCTTACAATTTCTTTTAATCATAACTGAACGTTTCTCCCCAGTGGATGTCTCACAAATTTTGAAATCAATTTGCACTCTCCTTGTTTTACTATATTTATTTTCAACCGAGCATACGCATAGGGACAGTGGAGCACTAAATATAGGAACAATTTAATTAAAAATAATTTTAAATAAGTTATCAAAATCAGTAGTTATACCAAAAAATTAGATAAGGGAAAACTTTGGAAATATTTACGATGTTAACTTTCTCAATATATTAATTTATCATAACTGAATTTCTCGAGTCTAAGAAAAATTAAACTATTGAAGCAGTTAATTAATAATAGTAAAATATAAATTAATTAATAAAATTGAAATATTAAATATCTCTCATCATGATTAAAATGTTTAATGTTAAGCTTTGTTTAGATAATTGACAATTTTAACATTTCATAACCAACATCAACATGTTGGAGCAAATATCTACTGTGTATTTTACCACTGTCTTTAGCACGTTTGCCAAAATGAAATATGATTAAAATTTCTTTTTCAACATTGCGTAAAATATTTTCAATCACGACCCATAATAAAAGGACTAATGTACAATCCGAACATATTATTGGACGAATTGCGAAAACATAAATTTTTATACTAAAATTTAATACTTTATTAAACTTATTTTTTATTTAAATTAAACCGTAAACTATAAAATTTAATTATTTAGTTGATACATTTATTAAAAAATTAGCACAACATTATTGGTAAACATTACTAAAAACTGTTTTGCCAAATTTAAGTTATACGTAACAAGAGATTATTTTTTAATTATATTTTGACAATTGCATAAGTTATATATGTTGTACATATATGTTTCTGGTGTGACTAGTTTATTTAACCTATCATAATAGATATTTGTAAAATGTATTGTGTAACTAATATATCTTAATTGTAGTTCTAGACATTCTAGTGTATTACTTCCTATCTGTTCCCTATTAGTTGACGCTCAGACAGATGTATCAGATATACAATCGTTTTTTCTCTTAAAAAAAGATGTACATCCGTTTGATCATTAATTAATATGGAATGGAGGGTGTATTAGGTAAGTATATATATATATATATATATATGGAAATTTACACCATGTAAATTTAACTTTTGGTAAATAGGTCTTGCGAGTTAGTTCAGTAATAGGTTGACAACATGTGCATATTATTTGGTACTCCCTCCGTCCCAAAATTCTTGTTGTAGCTTTGTCTAGATACGGATGTATCTAATACAAAAACGTGACTTGATACATTCGTCTTTAGACAAATTTAAGACAAGAATTTCAGGACGGAGCGAGTACTATAGTAGTTTTGCTTATGAGAACATAGAAATAATGGCAATTGTACTTTTTTCTTTGCATGTATGATTTTTTATTTGATATGACTATGCTTGGAATTATCTGTTGTATACATTAGCTCCTATTAGTCTCTCAAATAAAAAGTTCTGCATGAAATTTAGACTTATAAATCTAGTTAATATAGATTTCCATACAACTTGTAAGAAGATGTCCAACGGAAGAGAGACTACATCCTAACCATACCCAATGATGCCGATTTGATTGGATTGTTTCTAGATGATACATGCTACAAATTTAGTTAACCCGAACGAACGATGAAATATAAATGATATTTCTACAATTTATTGATATTGACCGTCTACTAGCTAGTAGTGATCTTCTCCGCGATTTACTACGTTGGTGTGAAAATTTCCATGGCACTACTAGACCAAAACATACAAATGTTGTTACGAAGAAGCTACCTAGCTACAACAACTCTCCTCTTAAACAATTTTCCACAATCAGTTACTATTTACTTTACGCGTGCAGGAGCTGGAGCTGGACTAGCACATCAAAGTAATCAACGAGCAGGCACGAAGGATTCCATGTGCAAGTGTACTTTGTTTACAGAAAGGGAGAGGCGGTGTGGGGGCAGCAGTACCCCGCTAGGCTACGAAATTTCGATTTGAAGCGGCCAACCAGCAAAGCGGAGGTGATTGAAACCAAACAAGCGCAAGCCAACACTTTGACTTCTTAGAGCATCCACATCGTCGTCTCTCTCATCTCTCTCTGATCGATCAACTGTCTGCTGTCAGTGTTATATATTTTTCTGCCCTCCTTTGTTGCCTTGTGCTGGCTTAGCTCTGGCCTCTCTTCCCCTCCCCTCAAGCTTAGCCATAGCCACAGCCATAGCCCTCCTCTCCCCCTTGCTTTCTGTGCCCTCCAACAATATATCTTCTCTCAGAGGCAGTGTTGCTCTGTCTTCTAGCTAGCCAAAGCTCAGAGCTGCCTGCCTCGACGCTTCGGCTGCTAGCTAGCTCAGGCTCGGAGAGTGTTTAACAAAGGACGGTTAGGAGGAGCAGCTAGCTAGCAGCAGTGGGATTCGGTAGCGCGCGGCTGCTAGGTGTCGCCGCTGCCTTGTATCTACCTTTGTTTCTTCCTCCTCATCTTCTTCTTCTTCGATATATCAATCGATCTCACCTGATGGGGAGGGCGCCGTGCTGCGACAAGAACAACGTGAAGAAAGGGCCATGGTCGCCGGAGGAGGACGCCAAGCTCAAGGAGTTCATGGACAAGCACGGCACCGGCGGCAACTGGATCGCCCTCCCGCAGAAAGCAGGTGTGTATGATCGAGCTTCCTGCCTTGTAGATTTATGATGCATGTGTGTGCTGGTTTTGGTACTTTGGTTTGTGTAAGGATATGGGTCTGGCCTGTCTTAACTTCTTTTGATTTATTTGCAGATGAGATTTCTTCTTCCTCTCTTGAATTTGTCCTTGATTTGCTTCCGTCTATTTTTCTTGACTTGGGGATGATCAGTTGAAATTTGGATGGATTTTTTTCTCACGCGTCTAGAACAAATGGTCCCTAATTAAGCATGTCATCATTGTCATGACCCATGAGTCTCTCTACTCTAGTAGTCTGGATAGAGACATCTCTCTCTAAGTCGAAATGCCGTCGTCTTTTGTGGCAACTTCTTCTTATCCAATGTATTCGACTTATCATTTCCCCCCTTAATCAATTAGAAGTGCATTCACTACATAATAGGATCACCAAACACTTGTTCCATGCTTGAGGAACCAAACAGGCATGAGTTAATCATTCTTTCTCTTTGTTTGTCTCTCCCACAAAACCGAGTTCTCCTTGAACTAATTAGCATACAATTTGCCAATTTGATGCACCTACAACAACTAATGCTATGACTCGCTGGATTCCCTTCCTCACACGCCTAATTTTATGTTCTTCCTGATATCTCTGGCTAATCATATGCTACCTATTGTTTCTTTTCCCCATTTTTCTAGTATTGAACAATGAACTTCTAGTTCAATTAGATATTTCCAATGGCCTTAATTTGTTATCACAATTAGGGTTGAGAAGATGTGGCAAAAGTTGTAGGCTTAGATGGCTAAACTACCTGAGGCCTAACATTAAGCATGGGGAGTTCACTGAGCATGAAGATAGGGTCATCTGCAGCATGTATGCAAGCATTGGAAGCAGGTACCCGAGACTGTTCTTCTTCTCTCTCTTAAGGGCGTGCATGTTCTCTCACATTGTTATGAGGCACACCCAATTTGGAAAACAATTATGAGAAAATCATGAATATAAAGCTATGCTAGTCCTCAAATTTTCAGCCGAAAATATGAATATCCATGGCCTGCTTAAAAGAATTGTTCCTGTCAATGTTTTCTTTTGTGCAGGAGGCAACAAAATGTTTTCTGGATGAAATTTTGCAGATTTGCATGTTAGAGGAAAAAATTATTTACCAAAATGTCCCTAACACATGCATGGCAGTTTCTGCTCCCTAGAAGAATCTTCCACAAAAAGGATATGTTTTCCCTATCTTGTGCTCAGAGCTGAAGATCCAAAACTACCATAGATCTAGGTAGAAGCATATACCCATTAACACTAGTAATGTGCGTCCTGTATGGAGAGAAGTAACCTCTTCCATTATCCTCAAGAAAGAAAGAAAACCTAGCACAGCTCATGCACGCAGCCACAAGCATTACTCATCATGTTAATGTGATTCAATTTCAGGTGGTCGATCATCGCGTCGCAGCTCCCCGGCCGGACTGACAATGACATCAAGAACTACTGGAACACCAAGCTGAAGAAGAAGCTCATGGGCTCCACCACCATGGCCGGTGCCGGCCCTCCGCCGCGCGCGCCACGGCAGAACCACCACCAACACCGGCCGGTCCTGCTGCCCTACTCATCGTCGCCCCACTCCAACTACAGCAACTTCTTCCCCGGCGCCAGGGCCCTCCTCCAGCAGTCCGCGGAACCTCTAACCTTACAACCACAGGACCACTACATGCTCGGTAGCTCAGGCTCCCTGAATCCCATGGCTAACAACAACGGCGCCTCCGCGGTACAGCTACAGATGCTGCACGCAACGGCGGCCCACCGGCAGCTGCAGGTGAAGGAGGAATGCGGCAGCGGCGGCGCCATGATCGCGTTCGGCTGCGGCGACCAGCAGAGCTGCAGCTCGTCGGACGCGACGCAGTACGCCGGCGGCCATTACGTGCACGGCGGCCGCCACCACGGGAAGGAGATGAGCTTCGACAACAACAACGGGTACAGCGCGTACGGAATGTACGGCGCCGGCGCCGGCGCCGTGGAGCAGGAGCACAAGCTGTCGTTTCAGCTTCAGCACCAGCAGGAGCAGCAGCAGCAGGCGCAGCTGGACTACAGCTACGAGGAGATCAAGCAGCTGCTCATGACAGCGGCGGCGAGCGGTGGCGACGGGAGCGGCGGCCTGATCCACGACCCGGAGCTGATCGGCGCCCACGCGGCGGCCGCCGCCGGGAAGCTGACGATGATGTAAAAACCAGAGTAATTAAGGATCAGGACGTACGTACGCACGTAAAGAAGGTCATCAATCAATCAAGATCGAATTGAAGAAGGTGTGTGTTAATTTCTACTGCCGCGCGCGCGATCTTTTTTCCTCGTTTCTTTTATGTTTTGCTTTGATCTGTGTAGTGAAGTGGATTAAAACGCTCCCGTGTCACGGCTGCATGCATGCAGATGCACGTGGCTGACAGCCTAGCTGCGCTGTGCCGCTGTGTGTGTATGTGGGTGTGACATGGGATCAAGATTCTCTCTCTCTCTCTATCTCTCTCCTTTCTCAATCTCTCTCTTACTTGCTGTTACTGTTGTTGTACCTCTCTCTCTCTCTCTCATCTTTGTCAGCAAAAGGTATAGTGTTATGAAGTTCATAAAAGTACTGTGAAAAACTGACAGTGTTTGTTTGGCCAGACCTTGACTCTCATAGCTTGGTGTGGTACCAACCTAGCTACTCCATCATGTGTGTGTCCATTTCTTCTCCATGCATGCATCCATGTGTGTGTGATAGCTTCGATGTGATGTGTCTGACACCCTGAATGTACTATATGACACGATCTCCCCCGGTCTCTCTCATTCACTCACTCACTCACTCACACACACTTGTTTGATGCTGCAATGCAATGCATAGGAGTACGTAGGAGTAGGACAGCGAGAGCGCATCTGAAGGCTCACAAGCTGCAAAGCATACACCGATTAAAGTTTGTCGAGAACGTCGGTTTGTGGTCTCGTGGAGTTTTCTTCTCTTACCGTTCGTCTTGTAGCCAAGATTCCATCAAACTTTGCCATGAATGTGGCAGTGCTTACTTGTTTCGTTTCACAGTGTTTGTTTGGCCATGAATATGGAACATCCATATTTTGTTCTAGCATCTTCTCTGACCTAGACATGTTTTTTCTAGTACCTCCGTTCCTAAATATAAGTCTTTTTAGAGATTCCATTATGAACTACATACGGAGCAAGATGAGTGAATCTACACTCTAAAATATGTCTATATACATCTGTATGTAGTTTGTAATGAAATTTCTAGAAAGACTTATATTTAGGAACGGAGGGAGTAGTTATTATAAAAAGGCTACATGAAATCACATGTTACTCGGTCGGTGGATTATGGTCCACCGCATATATAGAGTTTATACACAAGATTTTGGGATGTTGCCGCGAGAGACATCCTATGTGGATGCCACTTGGATCTGGAACCTACATGCTGATGCTCACGATTTCGATAGTCATACTGGCGATTTGGAGGAGATTTCTCGAAAATACTTTAGTGCTCATTTCAGGCAACTTTCCATTATCTTTCTTTGGTTGGGTGGCATGTTCATGTACTTTCATGGCACCCTTTTTCCAATTATGAAGCATGGCTAAGTGATCCTACTCACAGTCTTGGGTTTTTCTTTTCTATTTTTTGATTAAAGACGAAATGGCCACAAGAAGGTATCTATTGCCAAACCGGAGACAGCGGGAGCAGCCAATCGAACTAGATAGTGACAAAAACTCAGCGCAAAGTTTTCGCCTGTTCTAAAAAATTATGGAGATGCCATGAAAAATATGAAAATGAAAATTTACAAAACGGGAGCGGATTCAGAAAGTTTTTGTTTAAGTAGCACACGCCAAATCCACCCATATACACCTTTGGACCTACTCAGTCCTATCACCCAAAAACATAATCTTTCCCCAGCTCTGACTTCTCGAGATCCAGTTCTTCCCTAACAATTTTCTTTATTATGTTCAAAAAACTGGAAATATATGCACAATACTAACTCATTATATACCCATGATATATCATAGTATTTGTAGTCGTAAGTATTAGCATTGGAATCTGTTGGTTGGTTTTATTTTATTTTTGGTTCAAGAGGTTTTTGAGTTCCGACGAATTTAATTTGTTTCATATTTATTTGCACATCATATTCTTTTCCGCCACTACCCGCTTCCCTATTTTATCTGGGACTTTAGTGTTCTTTTCCAGCTCCGCTCAAAATGTGGAAGCAAATGTGGCAACACACAATTACATCTGTTTCTGCTCTCATTTTCATCCCGAAGTCATCCCATCGAATTTACCATGTGAAGCTAAAAAAGAAGACAAGTGTAGAAGAGAAAATAAAATAAGGAAAACACTCCCAAAGCTCTAGGAGAATGGGAGGGCTCCAGTTTTAGATGTCCTTTTGAGTTTTGTTAGGTTTGTGTCCTGCTTAGGAGGACGAGGCGGTGACGCCTCCCTTAAGATGGAATAAGATTTTTCTCACCTAGCCCCCGTCCCAATGGTGCGGCTAACATCCTCGATGGGCGTGTGGAGTGGTGTATCTGGTGGATCCATCCTTGGTGGATTTGCTCGGATTTGGTCATTGTTCATCTACGTCCGTGTGTCTTTAGGTTGGATCCTTCTAATCTACGCTGCTCTTCAACAATGGTGGTTGTTGTTCTGGTGTGCTAGTCCTCTGGAGCCTTAGCAAGACGACTTTCTGACGGTCTACTACAACAAGTTTTGCCCGGCTCCGGCAAGGGAAGGGCGATGATGATGGCGCGCCTTTGGCTCGTTTCAGTGCTTGTGGTCGTCGCTGGATGGTCTATGGATCTAGATGTATTTTTATTATTTCTGGTGTTTGTTGTACCGCTATTATTGAATTTGAATATCCCTGAAAATCCGTTTTTACTGCTCCTCACATACTGCAAGGACAAACTCTTTTGCCACGTTCTTTTATGCTGTCGTCACTGTTCTCTAGGGAGTACCTACCTATAGCGGAATAGCGCGCGCGTGGACCGGGCCGTACGTGGACAGGGCAGCGAAAGGCGTCTCCTATAGACTGTAGTAGTACTCGTATACTGTCTATCTGAAGCCTGGACTACTCGCCGCGAGAAACACGGCTGGGTGTGTCGTGTAAGCGTACGTCAGTGTCAGTGTCAGGCAGGCGCCCCATTGTTTTGTGGCACTTGCAGGCGCAGAAGCTGGCATGCATGGGCGCATGGCCATGCGAGCCTATTGCTTGCTTGCTTGCTAGGGCAGAGCGATCGATGAAAGATTCCGCGTGAGATCGGAGGCGGAAAAGATTCCCCATGCGTGAATGTTTGATTAGTATGCGCGCGCGGACAGGGTGACAGACATCGCGGAACGACGCGAGGGATATCCGCCTCACTGTCGTCGTCGTCGGTTCATGTGAATAAAACGTTTCTTATGGTTGAAACCTGTGTATAAAATTGTGTAAATCTCTTCACTCTGGCTGTCACTGTAATAGGTTCCCTATAATATCATGTCCACTTGTGATGTGTATGCTGGTTACCTCTGTCTGGAATTGATTTTTCCATGTCGATCAGGGCAGCAAAATACTCCAATGATTTCGGGTCCAGTGTACTCTCTTAGACTACCCATAGTGGGGAGTACCTTAGACTAGTAACATGCATATGTTACTAGTCTATGTTACTGCCTCTATAGTGGGGAGTAACATATGTGACTCATTTTGTTTTGATTTGTGTGATGTTACCCATAGTATGAGTGACTAGCCATGTTACTCAATTCGTCGATCTCCCTCCTCATTAAATCATTGTCACATAAGCAAATTTGCTGACTTGGACCATATATATTACCGCTGAAGTTGTTTCCACTATGGATAGTCTTACTAAAATATAGCAAAAAAAACCCGCATTTCTAGGTTTTATAAAATTTCATACTTACCAATATAAAATTCATGAAAAATATGCCAATCTGTGACCTGTGTAAAAATAGTGATATAGTTCATTCTCATCTTTTCATTTTGATACGGGTCATAAATGGTCATATGATTTCATGGAATTTTTTTAGATGGGCTTATGGAATTTACACAAGTACATTGCTAAGCAATACATATGTGCATGATTTTTTTTCCTGGAGCTTTTCCCAACACTTAACCTGCTTCCCCTCTCAAGGGTGCCCTTGACACACATCAAGTACCCTCCACAAGCCGACACACACGTCTCCCGTGAAGCGAGTGGTCGAGGTATGCCGATAGAAATATCCATGGTGATAGAGAGAGATTATATGTGTGGAAATTGATAGAGCTCAAAGCTCTTCTAGTCATGATCCTACCATGGTCTGGCTGGGGTCCTATCCAGCAAAACTTGAGCCGGCCAAATTATACTGGTTCATCCCACCTAGTCTGCCAAACTTCATAAAGGGGGTGTACCCAAGCAAACTAAACATCTCTATTTCCCCTAACAAAAACTAAAACAATAATTGCACATGACATCTCTAAGTAAGTCTTCCGAACAGCTATTACATGAAATTTTCCATGGGTACCACTGAAAACGTACGTTTTGCTGTCAAAAGCCATGCATGCAGAAACCAAGAAGGATCCGTAGGCACATGCTTGCAAGCGAGCCAATCAATCATTCCAAGAAGAAGGCATCAACTTTGCTAGTGCTACGGATGTAAAAGAGATCCCTGTCATTTGTCGGGTACGATCGAGCTGTGGGACGGAAGAGCACGTAATAACATTTTATAAAAAGGTTGGCACTGACAGTTCATGAATTGGATATAGCTGGTGTCGTCGTGCATCGTCCTAGCAGTCTCAAATTGGTCAACTTGCACATCAGTCATTCTAGAGTATCTTATCCATTGGAAAAAGGTCCCCTGTGATATAGTAGTAGCAAAGTTTGGTGAAAGGAAGAACTGTCGTCTTGGTAACTGAGCACTATTTTACTTGGTAGTACTAGATCTAGGTAAATATATTGAAAATAGTTTGAAAAAGTGCTATACTAGGCTAGTAGGCAAAGTTTGAAAATGGTAGTACTCCCTCCGGTTTTTATTTACTTCGCATATTAGCTTTGTTTCAAGTCAAACTTTGTAAACTTTGATCAAGTTTATACAAAAAATTATTAACATCCACAATACCTAATCAATACCATTAGAATCATCATTCAATATATTTTCATACCATATATATTTGTTATTGTGAAAGTTTAGATTGTTTTCGATAAACTTGGGCAAACTTTATAAAGTTTGACTTAGATCA